CAATGCTTCAGATAAGAACGTGTTAGTAATTAGCGGCTCTCAACACAATTTTTATTACTTATACTAAATATAGTGGTATTGTTTGGAGCACACAATCAGGACACGTGTGGCGGATCTTTTGACACAGTCAATACACGTGTGGCGGTACTTTTGACACAGTCAATACACGTGTGGCGGGTCTTTTGACACAGTCAATACACGTGTGGCGGGTCTTTTGACACAGTCAATATGATTGTGGCGGGTCTTTTGACACAGTCAATATGATTGTGGCGGGTCTTTTGACACAGTCAATATACTTGTGGCGGGTCTTTTGACACAGTCAATACACGTGTGGCGGGACTTTTGACACAGTCAATACACGTGTGGCGGGACTTTTGACACAGTCAATACACGTGTGGCGGGACTTTTGACACAGTCAATACACGTGTGGCGGGACTTTTGGCACAATCAGTACATATGGAATAGATTTATTGACATATTTAGAAATATTCTATGCGATATCCTTGACCCCAAACAAACTTCCACAGTCAACTACGAGTAATAAACACGTACGTTGTAGATACAAAACATTTCTACCGTTTACAGAAATTATATTTTCAGATATATAATGTAATACGTATTTACAATCTTTTAAACGAACGTCTTCATTCGCACAATAAGAAAAGAGGAAAACATGTTTTCTGCATTATATACATAAAGATGTACCCAGCATTGTAAATAATGCAATAAACATCGTATCTTTTCAACATCGAAGAAGGGATAAAAGCAAAAAATAAAAGAAATCTAAAGTAAATTCAAACCACAGATGTTTTAAACAACCTAGCTTGATTGCTGCTTTTCAAACAGATGCATTTCTTATAAGTGGAGTAAGAAGAAAAAGGTATGTTTGCGGTTTGATTTTAACGTTGACACACCATGATTTTAAAAAAAGTGAGAAATTACATGCTTTTATAATGGTGTAAGTGAACAAAAAATACGCATTTGAAGGACGTGAATGTAACTTCTGTGTCAATAATACGAATTTACATCTCAGTTTGTTTTACTGTGATATCGAAGTTAAAAGGTTGGTGTTGATACGATCTTATTAGATGCTATAACTCAACGTGACACAGAGTTGTGTTTTAGTATACCATAAAACAAACTTATCAAATTATGTGCGAAAATATTTGTTTTCTCATCGAATCTAAAAGCACACATCAACGTACATATTGAGATATATCACTGCGGTAGTTTCTTTAGAAAAAAAAGTTTATATGCTCACACGAAATAATGTTTATTGCAAGTTTTATACGCACTTCCCTAGTTTAAGAGTGCGTATGTACAGCAAAAAACATTTGTAATTAATCGTATGTAGTTGAAACTTTATACAAGTTTGAAAATAAAGCAAAATGGAAATATGTATTAATGCAGTTTATACACATATACATGTATAATATAAATATATTTACGTATATTACAGATTCAGTAAAGCTAATATGTTGTTGTTTTTAAACTAATCAGTACAGCACTGACAGAATTAATTATGTTTTTCACTTTCTCTCAACCACTTATGACAGCATTGCCGTAGGAACCATTTTTGGAGTGGTCAGACCTTTGCCACATTGCCATTTTTATGGGAGTCTGGAGCATGTCTCTCCCTCCACCATAAAATATTTGAAAATTTAATTCTATGATATTGAATACTGAACCATTTTAATTACAGATACTACATACACACAACGTAATGTATTGAATTAAAAGAAGCAAGTTTTAACATACAAGTTGTAGCTATACATGCCATAAAAAAAGTGGCCAGGCCATGGCCTGACTGGCATTACCACTTTCTACGGCTCTTTCAGACATATAAAAAAGTGGCATTGGTTTTAATGACCGAACTAAAAAATCAACCTATATAATTCTTTGCAAATCACAGCTGTATAAAAATACATGTTTATAAGGAAATGAATGACGATACCAGTAACGAACAAGAGAGATAATTACATAACAAAAATCATGCCCAATGTGCTCAATGGTTCAATTCCAAAAATAAAGTTTTTTAGCTGATTACGTGATGTTAAGTAAACAGTCTAGTTCTAATACAATAATTTAATCACTTATATCGCGTAAATCAAAATAAGTATAAAATTCCAGCTTCCGGTTCCTTAAAACAACCATTTACCATATAGAGCACGTGACGTCACTCACTAAGGCGTCCAAACTGCATCATCAGAAGTACAAGTTGAAACAAATCTTTTTTTAACTGCTTGTTTAACGTGTTAAAGTTGTAATGATAAAAAAGTTGACTTATCTTACATACTAAAAAAGATTTATACAGAAAACATTGTTGTTGCACATACACATTTTTTTAAAATATTAATGTACTCCAGTCATCAAACTATATGCTTGTAAAAAAAAAAAAATATTAATTTTGCATTAATTGTTAGATATTCTGAACTGGATATACTAAATAGCATACAATCATTTTGGTAACGGTCCCTTTTATCACATTGGTGACAATGGCGTATTAGTAGCACTTATTTTCTGTACATTAGGTATCTGGGGCTCACCCTTTAAATAGCTTGCTACAGAGATATAAGAGATACATTAGACAGATATTTAACACTGATTATGTAGGTCTAAATATACACAAGTTTAAACATATTTTTCTTTGTTTATTTGTTGTCTAAAAATAACAACAACAATAATAAGTACGTAAGCCTAACTATAGTGTAGTCAAACGAAAAAATCTAACCGTGGTCTACTGCTTGTTGTCAAAATATTGTTAAAGACAGAAAAGTGACTCATGAAGTTGCATGACCGGTGTAGCAAATATGCATGTAATTTATGTTTCAGATCCTGAAAAAGTTAATTGTTATTTATAAAACAATCGATTGTTATTAGCTAAAACTGATCCCGCTCACGAGTGTGTGGTTAGGTAATTCATTAAAAAATATCCTTTCCAGTACATTACCAAGCTTACAAAACATGCAGTACACAAACCAATCGCTATGACGAGACTATTTGTGTCTTCTCGGTTCATGTGACACAAACTGGCTAGTTTGGTTACTGACAAACATCTCCTTTGCCCACCAACAAAACACTTAAGCCCTTTACAATAATAGCTATATATCATTATATGCAAGTCGTGCATGTTGCAGATTTTATTTACAGTTTTGTATATGAGACACATGTACTGTCTAGTTCAAAGTTCTAACGTCATTTGACACCAATACTTTCAAGAAAAGTTTCACGAAAGTCTGTACATATATTGCAACACCCTAAATAAAACCTAATATAACAAACAGCTCAGTATTATTTTAACCTACATCGATAAATAAGGCAAACAAACACTCATATTGGTTCAGATGTCTGTAGTATATCATGAACAGTTTGTCCCCGCCGTTGGTTAAGCGGTAAGTCTAATCACGTTAAAAAATCGGGTTTCGATACCAGTGGCGGACAGAGCATGAGTAGACCATTGCGTAGCTTTGCGCTTGACAACAAACAAACAACAACAGGTTATTTTACACTGCATATCTCCAACAAGCAATTATCGGGGAAAAATTACACTTATTTATACAAGAAGTTAATAATATCACCAATATACATTAAGCATTTGCCTTATTCAGTAGTTTCATTCGTGTTCATCATATAAAGTTAACATCGTTAGTTTTTTAATAAATGTGATTGAGTTTGTATCGTAAACAAAATGTTATTAAATTATTTCATTAAAACAACTTTTAAATTAGTCTGCCAAAGAAACGAGTACAACGTTGTGGTAACCTTACGATATTTTCCGTGTTAATCTGGTAAACACAAAGGAAATCAGAAACGACTGATGCTAAATGAGATGTATAAAAACACAGATCGTGAATGTATGGAGAGAAACTCTGAAAGATGCAAGTTTCATCTCGGGGTGCCGATGTCAATATTATTATTGTGATGTCAACTGTACAAGTCTAGTCGTTAAAGGAAAACAAACATTATTTTTGAAACTACACGAAATAGTAATCCTAGAATCCTTATCTTTTGTGTCAGTTAAGTTCAGAATGAAACGGCGTATTACACACACCAATAACTGCTTTGTATATAAAACTGTCTAATTAACAGGGCCTGAGAAAGATTAAATATTTAACGAGACCAGTCCAATATGTTTATTCATTAAAATCATTCATTGTAAGATTATATTCCTATATACGAGATGGTTATGAATAAATAAAAGAAAAAGGATAAAATAATGCGTCGATTTTTTTATCTTCTAAGCAATGTTAGTTTTTATCTACACAGGCTTAAGAGCACAGAGCGAATTCGGTGGTCTGGAGTCTGCATTTCTCCCTCAATAAGCTACTAAAAAATTACGTTGGGTGGGACATCTTTGCAGGCTAATAGAAACCTGTTGCAATAAGAAGTGGGCTGCAAGACAGCTATCATCAACATATGGGCGAGTTAACTGACCTAAACACACCCAGATAAGTACTGAGTCAGTCGTTTTTCTTTTTACTTTGTCTAGACTTTCTTTTTATTTCTAAACTCTGAGCGCTAAGCTCAGTAATTCAACGATAGTCCCCTCGTCTTCATAGGCTTAACGCATCTGAACTTTTGTCACAGACATCTACATGAATACATATAATGATAAAGAAAAGAAACCTTAGCTCCAAACAGCGATATTTTCAGGATTTTTTTTTTCATCACCAGGGTAAACCGGAAATATGTAACACTGACAAGTTTTAGAATAATTAAATTAATCCAGAGTTTCCGTTGTACTTCCTGAACTTGAAATCAGTCACAATTATAATCATAATGATACCATAACTAAAAATAAATATTATAATTAATTCATTTAATTGTCAGTTATTACAAAACCCAGTAAATTATAAGTACTAATATTAAACGTAGCTACTAGAAACAGGTCCCATTTAAAACTAATTAAATTTGTTAATGATAAAAACTAACAATACTAATTGCCATATTAATAGGCTTACCCAACATACTTTATATATAGATATGTAATAACGTCTTACCGAAAAATTCCTCCCATTTGAGAGAATCATCCGAGTCACATTCTTGTTTTTCACTGTGCTGACCGCGTGAAAATCTCGAGTTCTGCTCAAGCACACATCTATTGTGGATAGAAAGTGACTGTCTGGGGCCTCCAGAAGGCCGGGAGCGGACGGGTTGGCAGGTTCGATTCCCATGACTGGATTGCATCACCATCAGTATAGAAAGATGCGTCTGTCTTTCAGTCGGTGTGTGCATGAAAGTGTGAACACAAAGCTCCACCGAGGAGTGTGCTTTCATTCATACATAGAGACGGTGGATACTATAAGTCACGTGATTACCTTGTAGTCTGTAGCCCCAACCACCTTTTAAGATCTTTCAAAACCTGTTAAACGTACGCACAACTTGGAGACAACGATAAGGCTACTTTTAAAGCGTTATTCGTAAAAAAACTTTCATCCATTATAATATTGACCCTACTTACCATAAACACCCTAACGCGGGTCAAATTGTGGAAGATGCAATGAACTATTTTGAATTATTTTACGAGAACTGGGAGCGCAAGGCACGCAGAGCACGTAGCACGAGATAACGGGTCACAACCGTACACACTTAGGTTGCTATATCAGTATATGACTACGACTTTTACTTCAACGCGTAGACGCTAACCACGAGCTAAGTAACGGGCGAGTCTATATTCGCAACAAGGGGTGTACCCTCCTTTTAATATATTTAGAGGTGGTGGATACGACAACAATCTCTTCTGTACACTATATATATACCATAACTTTGTTCTCATTAGTTATTGTGTTTAAATCAAAGTTTTTACGCAAGAACTGGCATTGAATACTAAAGGTGAAGATAGAAAAACTGCAGTCTCGTCGTTTTACATTAGTTCAGCGGGAAAGCATATAAATAGTAATCACAAATGACAAACCAAACACAATTCATTATGTACACAGGAATAACCAGCGTGATTTACACAAAGCGATTTACATGCCCGGACTTTTAAACCGAGGATTCACGGTTCGCGTCTCGTTTCCCTCAAAACGCGCTCAGCTTGATGGGGTAGTGGGTGGGCTATAAGACTGACGGTCAACTCCCACTATTCGGTCAGACAAGAGTCGGCGGTAGAGGCTGTTGACTTAGCTACTTTCCTGCTATTACATTAGTTCAAAATTTCGTTGTTTTTGTTGGATTACGCGCAAATACTAACACGAGGACTATCGACGCTAGTTATCCCTAATTTCAATCAAGCAACACCAAATCAAAAATCTTATCATACCGAATAGTGGGATTTGATCGCCATTGTTATTACGATCCCAAGACCACAAATGGGCGGAGCGTGATTTATTTATTTATTTAATTTTTGGCAACAATGGGACGAAAACACGAAACCTCTGTTTCATAGTTCGTCACGCTGACTTTTTTGCCGCGCTCGGTGCAGTTCAAAATTAAAACTGCTTTGCGCACGGATTGCCTTTGTGTAGCTTTGCATGAATATCCTAAACAAGAAACAAAAATATTTACGCAAAACCATGTTTTAGGTCCACACAAAATGTTCTGTTTATTTCCTGATGCTGCATTATTTTCAAATATAATCAATCAATTCACATGCTCTCCTATTATCGTCACTAACTGTTCATAATTCACTTTGTTTGTAGTTAAGTGCAAAGCTACACAATGGGCTATCTGTGGTCTGCCCACAACGGATATCGAAACCCGGTTTCTAGCATTGAAAGTCCGCAGACATATCGCTGTGCAACTGGAATGGCGGAGGGGGGGGGGGCTCATAATTCACATCAATACAGAGATTTTTGATAGAAGATAGCAAAAAGAAAATCTATTTGGATCTTCCAAAACTTTGAAATGATTAGATCAAACACGAAATAGTAACGACTTAACGAAGAGTGATAATTTGAAAACTGAGACTCATGATTTGATTTCGTACAATTATTCACCTGTACACACATGAAAAAAGAAAACAAAATGTGACATAACTGGGCTATGAAAAAATGTTATTTAACATTTGCAAATAGCTTATCGGATATTTATCACTACATTTATCAGTACAGATTGATTCACACCAAATGTACTATCACACACTGTGATATTTCATAAAGATTGTTATAAAAGGCTAACTTAAGCCTAGTCATTCTAAACTTTAAAAAGGGCATATGGCGTTGGTCTTGTGTAATGTGGTCGTAAAACAACAGGATATTTCTTATTTATTAATTAGCAATGTTAGTTAGTAACATGGAAATTCTTCGTTATAAAGATATACAGTTCAATACACAAGTTAAAACAACCCAGTCAGTTGAAGTTCCTTTTGATATTTGCGTTATTTTTATCAGGTAATATTCGTACTGTTTTGAACAACTCACAATTTGAGGAAAGAGTGGACCCGAGTGTTGTTGATTCAAGTCTGGTTTCAGATCAGTTACATTCATATTATCCCCAGCTTTACCTCCTGTGGCTTTAAATCAATAACATTCGGAGCATTTTCTTCTTCTCCACAAGTTGTGAAGATAACAGTAATCTTAATTGTATTACAAAATCGCATTGATTACACAACAATATAGCTCAATTTTCGATTTGAACGTATGCACTTTTAAATTTTAACTAATCACAAAGCTGCGCGAAGTGGTATCTGTACTCTGCCCACCACGGGTATCGAAACCCGGTTTCTAGCAATATAAGTCCGCAGACATACCACTGTGCCACTGGGGGCATTTTAAGTGATCGTTTCAAAAAATTTTATTTCCTAGCGAAAGTAATGAAATTACTGTTGATTTTAGAATATTAAATTACGTGATAAAACAGACTTATTGTGAAATTATTTAAGGACTTATAAAACAGTTATGAAATACTTATAAAGAGCTATAGCATGTGTAAAACACAATAATAAAGATCTATAATATGTGTGAAATACATTCATAAGTCCTGTTGTGTGAAAAACATTCACCATTCCACGTGTAAAACGTTTTCGTAAAGGCTTTATATAATTATGAAACGTTTGCATGAAGACATATGAAAACTGTTAAACGTATCTGTGCAGGGACTTTGCATATGTGGAAATTAAACATAAAGAACAGTTATAGTCGTAAAAACAACAGCCTATAGAATTGAAGACTCGCTACATTTATATCTAGGCAATTAGACAAGCTATTTCATGTAACCCTAATACGAATCTCAAAAATGCGTGACTCACTAAATCAAGTCTGTTCTGCATAAATTAAAATAGTTATTTTAAAACTGCAGCTATACTTAACCTAATTATTTATATACTTGTTGACGGAAGTTCTGAAAGTACGGATTTAATAAGGAAGGTGTTTCAGGTTTTGATTTGCAGTTCACGTGTAACAAAACAATGAAGTTTAACTCAGTCATATTCATTTTCAAAGCTCAAAGCGCTTAAGATATGATTCTTAAGTTCTCCCCCCCCCCTCATCTCAAGACTTGAGAGGACGAGCATTTAGTATGATAGAACGTTTAAAGTTACATCGTCGAAGAATTCCACACATTGTTACTCGGACACGACTGCTATAATTTGTCTCCGTGTTACTCCAGCTGTGGCGTATATGTAGCTGGTTTGATCGACAATCCCCGCCTTCCTTTCCTCTCCCTCTACAAACTTTTTTAAGATAAGAATAAAATGTTGCACATTTTCTATATTTTCTGGGTAAAGTTTTCAAATAATTTTGAAACGATTAAAATGATTTAATTAGCAGCTTGTGTTAAAATAGCCAAGACACTAATTCTGAGAACCCATGAGTGAAAACATAGAAGATGACGTTAAATGTCAACCAAACTGCATCTGCCATATTCAGTGCCAACAAGGCCTTTCGCCCAATACCAGGGCTCATCAGTGCTTTGGAAAAGGTTCTGTTCACTTTTTGTATGGGCCGGGCGTGGACTAGTGGTTAGCGTGTCCGAACTGCGTATCCAAGGGCTCCTGCTAGGCGCCCCCTTGCCTGAAAAACGCACATTGCATTTTGAGAGCATGAGTGCACTATTAGAGTGACACTCAAATTCAACTAATCGGTCAGACAAAAAGAAGCCCAAGAGTTCGCGGAGGGTGCTGTTGACTAGCTAGTTTCCCTCTAGTTTATCAGTTTAAAATTAGGGACAAATAGCGAAGATAGCTCTAGAACAGCTTTGAGTGAAGTTCTCAAACAAACCTTGTGGATATAACCTTAGCCTAAAATTCGTAGATTAATTTTCTTTTTTCACTTACGCTTACTTGCTCATTTCAGGAAACAAGGACAACAAACAACACATACACTTAAAGTTATCACATTCTTTTAGGCGGGTAACGTGTTTCACGCTGTCTTATCACTCTTAAAATAAAGTAGCTTCAGCTATTAGAATTAAGTTGGAAAAAAAAAAAGAGGTAATGAACCGGAATTTTACCTGAGTTGTGGAGGAAGAAAAATATGAAACAATAACAATAAGGGCATGCATATAGAGTTCAGTGATAAGAATAACAAATGAAAAAAAAATAGCTAAAGCTTAATTTTATATATGTAATTAGCACGGGCGTGAGATGATAAATTCCCGATTAAACAATACAAAACAGGATGCAGAATATCGCCTCCACCCAGTGTATTCAGACTTGCCTTAATTCTCCCAATGATTTTTAATTATATTTAAGATTGAGGTTGCTAAAGTAGTTGATGTTTTGTTTTCTATTGAAAACAAAGAAAACTATGTTTCATCAAACTTGTAACATTACAGTAGAGGTGATCTTGTACATATCACAAAACTTAAGGTTCTGCGGCTAAAGTTCAAAGTCTCGGCAACTACTACTCCACCCATCAAACAAAATCACATGCTCTGAGACAATTTTGAAACGTTACTATTGTACCATGACCCTCCTTGAAAAATGTACAATTATCATTTTCTTAGGTTCTCGTGATGCTGGAATGGCCTGGTGGTTTGTGCGCTTGGCTCACAATCTGTGGTTCGCGAGTTCGAATCATGTCACCGAACATGCTCGCCCTTTCAGCAGTGGGAGCGTTATAATGTGACGGTCAATCCCACTTTTCGTTGGCAAAAGAGCAGCTCCAAGAGTTGTTAGTTTTCTTCTAGTCTATCACTTCTAAATTAGGGACAGCTAGCAGAGATAGTTCTCGAGTAGTTTTGTGCGACATTTGAAAAACAAACAATCTTAAGTTCTCATAGTTTTAGTTTGAATGAATGTATAGCAAGAATAATCACTGCAAGCAGTACTCCCCACTAAATGAAACTGAAATTTTCATTGGATAGGCCACGATATTCGAAAGAGTGAAAAATGTGGTTTGGCTACCTTATTACGTGCTGAATCATTACTAAGCTATCAATAACACTACAGCACATTTTAAACAAAATGTGTCTTTTACTAAATCGTCATTTGCTTCGAACTCCTTGAAAAATACTACGCCTGTCATGTGTAAGAGCTAAACATATTGTTATATTTAAGTATCAATGAAAGTAATTGTAACTACTTTGAAGTAAAAGTATAAAATAGCTTTCAGCTGTACAAACGCTCGTTTCAGCTTGAGGACCCGCTCTCTTTGAAACCTCAAGAGAAGATGTCTTTCATTGAGAGGTGCAGCTTATTTTCGCACAAAAATCATTAGCATATCTCATCATGTG